CTGGAAAAATGACCTGTTCAAAAAAAAAGAATGAGTTAAGATTGCGCGTTCATCCGTTCTCAAAGGATTTTTCTTTGCATGAGGTAAGATAATAATAATGTTACGCTAAAAACAGCAGACATTTTTAAGAAGTAAAAGAGAGAGTTCTTTATTAAAGCTCCTTGATGAGCTCCTTAGCGCTACCTCCTTAGAGGTAAAAATGCTACCTCCTTAGAGTTAGCTACCTCTTTACTAGTTAGAGATAGCTCCTTTTTTATTACGAATGTTTTCCTATTTGGGTTTGTGTTCCTCGAAAGGTATGCCTTGGTGTCTTCAAAGCCTTAGGGACTGAGTTGCTTATGGGTAGGCAAGCTTTATAGTTATACGTATCATCACTTAAAAACATAAGTTGACATTTTTAGCATGGCAAACAATTGCTATTGAAGTAGCATATCTTGTTCGGTACAATATTTGCAATATGTGAAACTATTTAGCAAAGAATTAATAGAAATTGCAAGATTGCAAATGGTAACCCTTAAGCTATTAAACGTGGTGATTCGAAACACAATAGAAGAACAATATGTGCGATATGCGCGAACGCCAGCGTTCGCTTTGGGTTAGATGAATTAATTATGAATTTGTAAAATCTATTTATATGTATAAATATAACCTAAAAAGTGAAACCAATGTTTCTGTAACTCCAGATAGTATAGAATTGAAGTGCTAAGGTCACCGTGCCGGTTTTAACAGACAACCAGTTTTTGACTTGCAGCGCTTTACAATAAGTTCGATGAACAAGTCCGCCAAAAAGTGGTTTTGCTTCCGTCATACAGTCAGTACAACAAGTGACAAAAATATTCATTCTATATACTTAAGAAAATACATCATTATATAATACTGTAGATACATCATATAGCCTCGCTATGAGTTCTCCATCGCATATATCACGGGGTGTCCTGAGAAATTGTTAGGTTTGATTTCTGCAGCGTCTTTTTGCCTTCGTCCTAAACATTTTCAAGGAATTTGGAGAAATTTAGTACGTGGTGGGTCGCTAGTAATTGATATATGTAATTTAATTGATAAACACTACCAAAGTTTAGACTTATCATATTATTTACCGTTACTTATAATTAATGCTACAGCTAAAAAAATAACGAAGACATGCACAGTACTTAATTAGTTTGGAAAAGAAATATGTTATTGGAAATATCCTTTCGATACCGTAGCGGTTTACTAATGAAACAGAATCTCAGATACTTTAAAAGATTTAAATTCTCTGATATTATATTAAAGTCAACTTTTTATAGTAAAAAATATATCGTCCAATTCGTTCGAAAACTTAATAAATATTGGGGTATTCATATAAAAACTATTGGTCACATCATTTATTTTTAATAACAAAAAATATATGAACGTCATAGAACGTCCTTAGACGTTTACGGCCCTTATAGCCACAGTATGAGCATAAAAATATATTTACCCAACTTTATGAACAAGATTATTTATAACAAGAAGTATCAAAGCAAAATCTATTATAACAGCGAAAATAAATGGCACTTTTTTTCCTAAATTCATTATGTGTCCACATAAACGTCCAATTTTCAACTTTATTACAAAAACATACGAGTTGAATTCAAAAAATTTTTGTACGATCACTTCCTCATTCAATAGACAAAAAACTACATTGTTTGTTGATGTCTGCCAATCAATTCCGGAATGATCTTTATGATAGACACACAGCGTTGTGTGTACCGTCTATTTAAGAATTCATTTTAGCAGGTTGATAAAAACCTGTTTTATAATTTGATATCGAGAAGTTCTAGATGCGTCTTTTCTTCAACTTCGATCTGAAACTGGTCACGTAAAAAAACAAATGGAAAAAAATGATGTATAGTGTCTGCTTTATAATCACAATTATAGCGCACGCGAAAAAACGCGGAAAATATTTAAAAATAGTTTTAATTTCAACCTAATAGCAGTCATGTACCATGCACCTTGTAACAAAATTATAAATCTGAAAAATATTATCTTTAATATACTTATTATCATTCGTATTTGAATTATGTAAATAAAATTCTAAAAAAACATGTATTAATATGTATGTAACAGAAAATGTCATTGTAGATTTCTGGCTCCCAATCTTAAACAGGCTAACAGGACTTTACGCTTCAACAGCGCCATCTGTGATCATTCTTAAACTCCACTAACTGTAAACTAACGCAGACAGTTACAATCAATTACTTAATTCAACCTCGAAATTGGTAAACTAAGCTTGAATTTATAAAAAAAAAACATAAAACCCATCTGGTCTATTTTGTCCGATCCGGTACCCATGAGAATGACACTTTGATATTTGAGGTAGCGAGTAGGCACTTATAATATGACATTTTTAAATTGGTTTTAAAGGTTTCTATGTACGCCGGTATTGGCGTAAAACAAAATTACGGCAAAAAACCTTACATTATAAAATCGTCAACAATAATGTTGATAGTTGCCATATGAATACCAAACTATAATTGGTATTTCCGACCGAGGCAATGAATTTTTGGATGTTATCCAACTAGGTTAGAGAGTTTATATTGTACAAATAGCATTTAGTGGTCTACTAGCTATTTCTCTTATAAAATACTTTATGACCATCAACAGCCAATGATGGTTGCGAGTCGAGGTCGTGGAATAATGGCAATCATATTTCTCAGCCCGGATTTTAGTTAGGAAGGTGGTTCTTAGTCAGCAAGCGAGAGAAAGGTTGTAAAACTCTTTATTATAAACATTAACAACTCATGGTGGTTGCGAGTCGAGATCGTGAGAAAACGCAATGATGTCCCTCAGCCTGACTTGGAGCCAGCATGATGGTTCTTAGACAGCAGAAGGGGTTGTAAAATACTTTATAAACATCAACAGCCCTTAATAGTTACTGGTCAAGGTCGTGGAGAAATCGCATTGACATACTTGAGCAGAAAGCGAGAGGAGGGTTCTTAAATAATTTACAAACTTTAACAGCCCATAATGGATTCCGGTCAAGGTTGTTGGTAAACGCAATGATGTACCTCAGTCTGGCTTGGAGCTGGAGAAGGAACAGCGTGAAATGGCGGTTAATGGAACGTCATTGTATACATATAAGGCCATTATCATCATCCCTTGGCAGTTTCAGATTGGTCAGAGAGAGATACTGCTGGTCTTTCAAAATATTTTAATAGATACTTAATTTGATTCAAATTTATGTCATTAATATAAATATATATATATGTTTATTTATTAACTATATCTCTTATTAGCACTAGAAAGTCAGTTACCGAATGTTCTATTTTTTTCAAACACTTATTGAGGGACACTTTTCAACCAAACTGTGTTCAACCTGACATTGAAGACAATTCTCTTTGCTCAGCAAATAATGAAAGAATCGTTGAACGAGGAACTACTTTTTAAATTGTAAAACCTTATAAGGTACAGTTTGTCTGACCCGGACTTCAAGCCGGATTTCATTAATAACACATTGACCGATCTGCTAATGAGTGTTTGAACTCGTCAACCAACTGTCTATATATCGTATGTACGATAATGGAATCTTACTCTGTGTATCACCGCCTTACCCTTTAGTATCGCCGGGGTTGCAGGGAAAGCGCAATGAAGCACCGCGAGGGGTTTTTAGTCAGCAAGAGTCTGACACTCTCTCCCGCCCGGTCCTGGGCGGGATAAGTCATTTGATGATTTTCCCCTCACAAAAAACCCTTTAGTATCAATATTGAAAATAGCATAAAAAGTAATAACATTAATTCTTTAATAATGTTGATCTTTATTTAAGTGGTTATCTTAATTAGTACTGGATAGATCCACACCAATTTAAGGCTGAAACAAAGACAACAGTTTACTAAAGTATTATTAGCTCACATATTGACATTTCTATTCTATTCGATTCGTATAGCATTTATGTTATTTCACTAACACTAACACTACAGAGCATCGAAAACTCGATTTATGCTGAAAATGTTTAAAGTGCATTCGAGTAATCTATTCATTACCATTAGCTTTTTATAAGCTTGAAGACCCTTGAAGTACACCATTAGAAAATTGCTCCTAACAATCCACCCGATTTCCTAAATTAAACAATAAATTATATGGAAAAAATAAATACGAATCACCTTGTCTTGCTGCCTAGATACCCAAATTGTGTCTTAGTTGCTTCTAAAAACAAAAAACAATCCTTCGCTTTGGAATTGAATGTATAACCCATTTTTCGCCAGTCCCACCATCTTGTAAAAGGAAATGATGCTATTGACAGATGCCACACAATAACGCTTAGGGAACTCCCTCAAATTGCTGATCTTCGAAAACCACAAACTTTTTCGGATCCGCTTACCGAAATTCTCATATAAAAAATTTAGCGGAATCTGTACAATGTTGAGTCATTGCGTTTAACCTTTACAATCGGTGGATAGGTACATAACGTATCCTTGAAGTCATTAAACCGTGGTTACGCAAAAAAGTTGCGTCGCGTCGCGCTCCCACGACCTCATGCAATCGCTTTGTATTTACCCGCTAATGATAATATACCTATACCTTCAATATTAATCAGACCTCTATATATATATGTACATCTCATAAAGCATAATTTATACCTTGCTCTTTTATAACATGTAATATGTCATTTAATTTGTCCACCTCTATTATTAATAGATTTAATTATTAATTAATTGCTCTTTATCTTAATGCAAGTTGTGGTCTCCTATAATTGAAGATACACAAATTTGTATCTGTTTAAGTTTTATTTTTATCATGTAAAGTGCAATCTTTATTGGAAATCTAAAAAATACAAATACAAATTCTTTTGGAGCCAAAAAACGTTAAATTATGTATAGTTTTTAATAGTACATAATTTATATACGATATTTTTCAACATTCCACCAATTTTTCGTCTTATATTTATGCATATGTAAACATAGGTCACAGCCATGTTCCATTATCGGAAATGAATTGTCATGATCCAGTTTATTATTAATATGTGCTTTGTGTGTTTACAGGATGGAAAGCTGTACGTGAAAATTGAGACTTCTGTTAAGGCGTTAGTCTATGATGCGAGCAAATACTGCATTGACACGTTCGTCTCGGACACTGAGGGGCCGCATCTCAATGCCCTCATCTGCTTCGTTTCGAACCCAGAGCGCAACAACTATACCATGAGCAGTAGTTGTAAGTACAATATGCAAAATACGAGTTTTATAAAAATAGAGACTCCAAGAGCCTACTAGAACCAGACCCGAACGTACGGCGCGTAGCGTTCCACACAGACGGGGCCCTATTTATAGGGCTGATGTTTAGCGGGGGTTGCAGAGCAAACGTAATGAGGAGACAAAGGCAGGAGAACACAATTCCAAATTTTTAAAGACCAAGAATTACACATGCATCTTTATGGTTCCGATATGAATTTTATTTTGAAACGTTTCCTTATACTACGGTTTTTTTGGTTTCTTGGGTGCTAAAACACATTTTGAATATTTATCCAGATTATATTTAGTAGATCATTAATAACTGCACTGACTAGAGGCATTAGCTACCATACAAAGTGACGTAGGTTCAGTTTTATGACTTTTATGTAATGGCAACACGACAAAAACGAGCAGTTGGCGATACCACTGAATCAGGGAGATGTAGTTTATGATGATGATGTTGAATTTACTTGAAGGAGGATCCTAAAGAGACAACATAAGAATTGTTTCACGTCATATGTCTATGAGGAAATGGTATCTGTAACTAGAGTACCATCTATATATAAGTCTAATACCATTGCCTCTCAGACAAATGGCTAGCTCTACTGAGTTACCCCATTTTTGCCGAATCTTGGGTCTGACGTGTATCTTTTGTTTTTATTTTTATCTTCTGATTTTAATTAATTTATTTTATTTTTCCAGGTATGTTGATATCTTGTTTCTTCATCCTGTTGACGGTAGCTGTTTACGCATGGTTGCCTGAACTGAGGAACCTTCACGGAATGGTGCTGATGGCTTACCTTCTATCTTTCTTCGTCGGCTTCTTGTTCTTAGCCACCATGCAGATCCTTATCTTGCTGAAGGAGATATCTGAAGACATCTGTATCGTTTTAAGTAAGTAATTATCTTTTGACGTATTTTTATGGTATAGGATTTCCTGATGTTAAGCAATCGGTGCCGCCCATGGACACTCGTAAAACCAAATTAATAACTAATAGGGGATTTGAGTTTTGAGGCAATCCTCAAACGTCAAATCCCCATTACCGGAAGCCCAATGGCACTCCAACGGCGAAATACTACGTAAGTGTTAGGTACTTCACGCCAACGTAAGTGTTGTTTCACGCCGAATTTTCTAGAGGGGGACTAATCAGTGACGTTAATGTTGTTAGGCATTTAATTTCTTTTATGGTCGAAATTATTATTGAAAGGAAAATATTTTCAAGCATAAACGTAACATTATATTTTCAAAGGTACAGATAATTCTTTTCACTACTTTTACAGTTGTATCACTAAGGGGGTTGTTCTTGCCACATTTATTGGATTAATTATAAATTTAAATATCAGATTTTTGCTTTTTCTGCCGCTTGGATCTGACTCGATGCCATATTCTGTGGTTAAAAAATCTCAAAATTAAAGAATGTATTATCGTTACGGTAATTAAGTTTCGCAAATATTATTCTTTAGATGATTTGATTGGGTAAACTATTTAATGAATATTCTGCTCAAACAGGAAAACACGCTGTGTTCATTTTATCAATAAAAAAGATAATTCTATTCTGAACTTTAAAACAAAAAACTATTTTAAATATTCCAAAGCACCTTTGTTTTAGTGATTCTTGAATCTACGATTTCGAAATTTTCTGTACCTTAAACATAATAATAAGATATGATTACGTCTAAACTACGGCGGGGATGACTAGGCAAAATTAATTAGAATCATATTTTTTGTTATTTATTTAAGAAAAACTAGTATTTGAGGCAAAAAATATGACAACACGATTTAGTTCTGTTAAAAAATTAGAAAATTCAAAGAAATGTATCATTCTTGAATATTGACTCATTCATCTCAATGACCTACTGTAACGTTGTAAACCTTAGACTTGGGACCTACCTTAATTCAGTTGATATTCATTCCGTTTTGCATTCCAAATAACATAATTGGATGTAATTTTATTTGTTTAAATTCACAATAATGTTGTGTTTGTTGTTTTTGCAAAGTGTCAAACCTCACATCAAAGTGACGTTACGCTTGTCGTGAAATGTCAACGTCAGTTGTCATTTCACAGACTATAGATTCACCCAATCAATAATAGAATCAATGTGCGGTAGATGAAATAATTTTGTCAATAATAGCGGGTAATCGTTTTAATTTTATTTATTAATGGATAATCGCCCGCGGACAGTTAGCCTTGAGGTCAGATAATTAAAAAGAAGTAGATATGTGTCTCTGCCTCCTATACTTGTCTATGAAATGCAATTTTCTTATAAGGCGGGTTCGAGTAGAATCTTTCCTTTCTTCTGGAATCCTGATCGCCGACCTACAAACGTACTGTGTTGCATAATTTTCGCAGAAGCCAATTTTAGGCTTAATAATTTAAATTCAGTGTTTCCGTGGTTCCCTGCAAAGGGAACCACGGACGGACTTTAAGGTCCGTCGGGATTGCAACCACGGACGGAGTTGAAAGGCCCCGTCAACCTTAAGAGCCATGTTCGGAGTTCGAAACTCCCGTTAGTAGTGGCGACATGGAGAAGGCGAGCGTAATGGGCCTGGCCCCGTGTCATTGCGCTGTAGCCGCCGCGTTGTCCCCGGACTGGGATAGCGGCACCGGCATGCACCTCAACCTCATGTCATAGTTAAGTGGCCACCACCAACACCGCCAACCACGTCTCGCATTTACCCACACTTTTATTTATTGTAAACGCTCATCAGTGACAGTGCCACCAAGTAGGCGTAGAACCCACGCCTTGTTGTTATTTCGTAGTTTTTAACAATAAATTGATATTGTTTAAAACGTGTGTTGTTTAATTTATAATTTTTGATTTTTATTTTTTTGCTCGGGTTTATCCCGTAGCACTACTTAGATGTTTAAACATATGACAACTTGAAGAACAAGGAACAAATAGACAATGACACGAACGTATAACCACAGAATTATGACAAATTCGTTTCATCATTCATCAAGTACAATACAAGTGAATTTTTAAACAGAGTGTACCAATTTAAATATCTTGGGCATTGGGTCACGGAGGATTTAAAAGACGATGTTGACATGGAGAGGGAACGCAGAGCATTGTCAGTTCGGGCCAATATGTTGGCGCGCAGATTCTCCCGTTGTACAGACGCAGTCAAAATTACTTTATTTACAGCATATTGTACGTCACTGTACACGGGGGCTCTGTGGGTTAATTACACCCAAAGAGCTTACAATGCTCTGCGGGTCCAATTTAACAACGCCTTCAGGGCGCTGTTGCGGCTCCCACGATTCTGTAGCGCATCAGCAATGTTTGCTGATGCACACACGGATGGCTTCATAGCAATCTGGCGCAAAAAGACCGCATCTTTCATCAGTCGGCTGCGTGGAAGTCGTCACACCATCTTGAGTGCTATAGCTAACCGACACGATTGTCCTCTTTTGTGGAAACTTGTGCAGAGGACAAAGTCCCTGCTAACCATTCAATATTAGTTTATTTCAGTGTTCCTATTTTTTGTAATGTATGGATCTTGAGTTATCTGAATAAATATTTTTTTTTTATTATTATTAATACCGCCAACGTATCTTGGCGAGTCTGAAGTTAGCCGATTAGCTGCGCAGTACACAATTTTGTTCCTAAAAGATCCATTGCGCAGACAAACGGCTAACTTCAGACTCGCCAAGATACGTCGGCCGCACTGTATATACGGGACGCAAGCACACTACAATTTTCCTACACACGTTGGACACGGGACTGAACTCGAACGTGTAATAATTAATAAAATTTACCTCCAAAGATTGCTTCACTACTGCATAATAAGTTTCTGTGATGGCGTTTTTACACAACTCAACCGTGTTCACAAACATTACCACAAGATCTTGTCTTCAAAATAAATGATAACAGATTATTTTCAATTTCAAACATTGATGACTAAAGTAAACAATTATGTGGGTATACCATTTGCTTAAATTGGCATGTACTTAAGCACATTTGAAATAGGAGATAGGTTTCCACGAAAGCCTTCAATCAGAGTAAAAATCCCTAATCAGAAGTGGAGAAAAATGTAGTGATTCTAATATCAAAATGATTGGTCTATTTTAATTTGATGGCACTTAGGTCATATCACCAAATAAACATATTTTTTTTTATATTGGATAATCCGTTTTTCGAGGAAAGCTAAAGATTAGTAAACACTATGCTACAACCAATAAGAGACAGGCAACTGAAACCGCGTGGAAGTAGCTAGACAATAATAAAAAGAAAATAAAATCTGTCTGGAGAAAGATCATCAAACCGTCTCAAATTTCTACCGAGGTCAAATATGTATATCAAACAACGTCTGCTAATTTTAACAAGACAAAACACTAAAACATCAAAATATTTAATCGTAAATTTTTGACGTTGATTTATTGTTTACAATTATATGCCGAGTTGCACAATACGTATAACTTTTATCCCCAAATTTGAAATTCGAACCCACAATGCGTTTTACACACGCAAACACAATCTATTGCCCTATTTTGGCCGAATCCAAAAACTTCGTACCTACTATTAATAAAAAAAATGGGAATACCCAATATACAAAAAATACAGATCTCGGCAGATCAAAATAATATGTACTACTAGTAAAGAATTTTGCTCATACATAAGATAAAAGAAATATACCTACTAAATGTGGTTAAAAATTTATATTCTCAATAGGTACGATAAAAATATGGGATATACCCAAGCCAGTAACTAAAATATTCCTAAAAAAACATTAGGTAATCAAACAAATGACGATAATGATTTTCCTCGTGATAATAAATAAGGAAAATATTGGTTAAGTATACCTACACGGACCTAGGACAAGCATTCGTATGAAAATAGAATAATCTATTCATATGAATGCGCTACCAGTCCTGCCAGCTATTGCTGATTGCATATTAAAGAAACGTGTATGCGATGAACCTGCTCAATTGTCCGTACAATAAAGCTCAGTTTTGCATGCACATTTTTATATGCAAGGTTAAAACCGTCATACAGACCCTAACGTTTATGGCCATCCTTAAGGCAAAATAATTGATAATAATCCAAGTTTGGGCTGTGAATCGGCCCGCTAGAACAAGTGATACACACGACCTCACAGATAACCGGCGTGATACAATGTGTGAATACCGACGCACTGTTACAAGGCCGACCCCGTTTGTATTTTAAAAAAAAAAACGAAAAGACAATTTACTGCAAACCACTTTAATAATCACAATTTGACAACAAAGTTTGTCCACTTATGTCTCTTTTAATTACTCAAAATTTAGCAATATGAGTAACGCGGTGGCACCTTGGCGGCGTCCAGAATCTAACTGACTGCATTATGGATTTCAATAGTAGATTGTAAAAATGCATATTCAGCGTAAAAATTGTAATGTGCAATGGAAAAATACGTTGTATTACGATAAAAGCTGACATAGGCTCTATTGCCTTGTAATAAGGGTTATAACAGCACGACGACGACGAATACGTTCAACGACGCCTAATTCTCCACAATTCCGATTTCCCAATCATCCTCAAATCTCTAATCCCTAATCCCTAAATGGTCAGCGTTGCACTGGTGTTGTTAGTGTCCATCGAAGATGGCAATTTCTTACTATCAGGGGCCAGTCTGCTCGTTGACAGCTAGGATTAACACAAATTTATTAAACAATATTATATACGACATATTAAAAAATAACGTGGATTTAGTTTTATTTCTAGAGAAAGAATGTGTAAGAAATTTATATCTTTTTTTTTGTTCCAGCTTTCATCGTGTACTTCTCTCTTCTATCAGCGTTCTTCTGGCTAAACGTGATGTGCTACGACATCTGGTGGACGTTCAGGTAAGTTATTATTCTAATAACTCATTATTCTTAGCTTTTAACTTTAGTAAAAGGCTGGACAGCTGGGTTTTTTTGTTCTGTTCCTGACAATTTACATTTTTATACGTATTAAAGATTCGTTTTTAGCTTAAGCCATTGGAACTTAAACAAGATATTAACTTCTTTAAATACTCATTAATAACAGATGCCAAGAGAAATAGCTTTTGTAGGTCTTGTTAGATTCTCTGAAACGATCACTAGCTTCTTTAATGATTGTTAAGTAAATAAAGCTGATAACAATATAATTGCGGAAAATGATTACATTTAACCAGTGTATCTCAACCTACTTCTTAAGGCAGGTAAACGACATGATTTTAATCATCATCATCATAATCAGCCTATAAGTGCCCACTGCTGAGCAGAGGCCTCTTCTCGCACGGAGAAGTTTAGAGCATTAATCACCACGCTTGCTCAATGCGGGTTGGCGATTTCAAACTTATAATTAGAAATTATAAGTCCAGGTTTCCTCACGATGGTTACCTTCACCGCGTGTAGGTGGTGTCTAAATAATCATGGAAGGTACATACATATAACTCGGAAAAAGTCACATTGGTACTTGCCAGGTTTCGAACTCACACTCTCATGCATGAGAAGCGGATCCTCAACGTCTAGGCCACCATGACATGATTTTAATATTTTCTGTATTTGTTCTTCTTCAGTGGAAAACGAGCTCATGGCCGCAGTGGTTCACAAAACAAGAGATTCTTGTGCTATGCCATCTACGCTTTTGGAGTGCCAACGATCCTGACCATCATCTTGGCAGCTCTTGAATTCTCGAACATTCCTTTGCATCCTCTCCTGCCTAAGCTTAGGCTACAAGGCTGCTTCCTATACGGTAAGTGCTATTTTCACAAATTTGGAAATTTCGTTAACTTTTTAATCGTGGTAATTCAAAACACCAAAGAAGAACAAGAGATGATCGAGCGTTCGCTCTGGGTTTTATGAATTAAAACTAATGGCTTCTGGAATTTTAACTTGGTAGTAAGTTTTTTCACTTCTTGCGGAATCAAAAGCTTCCAAAAAATTAACGATTCACGATTAAGTATATTTTATAATGACTCTCCCACACTTTATTCTTTAATCTCCCACACAAAATGATTATTATAATACTAAGAATGCTTAACAAATTTCAGGGAACAGCAAATTGTTGTACTTATACGGACCAATAGTGATCCTTTGCGTGGCGAACTTAATATTCTTCACACTGACGGCCTTCAAGATAGCAAAGATCAAAAGAGAAACCAGAATGCTACGGGACAAAGAGAGCTCCACACACGACCAAGACAGAAAGGACACTCAAAGGTGAGTTATAAAATAGAAACAAATTATCATGTCAAAGAGTAAAGAAAATTATTCCGTAGCTTCCCTTTAATAAGCTACTAATAATAACAGCATAATTTGCGCAGTGGCTGGGCAACTGGCTACTGTGTATCGCGGGTTCGATTCCTGAACTAAGCAACTCTAAGCACAGCTCTCGCAACTCCTAGTATGTTACGGGTCTGAGTACGGTGTGCATGTGAATTAGTATGTTAATGCACTCACGACACTGGTGGTCAAGTTCTAGTATGAAGCAAAGGAAAAAAGAAAGATAAAAATTGGTTTTAAGCTAAACGATGCAGAATCATCGCTAGGACACTGCCATTAATTATACTTAGAAATATTTTCGACATTTTAAAGATCTCTGTTTATGGATTGTCTACATTATTTTTAATACTTAGCGATATTTATTGAAATCATTTAGTAGACAGTTCTAGAATCAGAAACTCAAGTTAATATATCGTAAAGAAATCAAATTATTCATAAACAATTGTTATAATCGTCCAATAAAACATGACGCTTAAAATTTCGCATTTATAGAATTATAAACTGAGTTTAACAGAAGCTGTCGGTCAAACCAGAATAGTTTTTACGAGCGAGGGAATAATGAATTCCGTGGAAATTCATCCATTCTATCCTACATCGTTAATTGCATAAACAATCTGAACTTGTTATGATTAACAAGCTTATTTGTGTTTCAAAATAATATCTTGACCTTTTTATTGTTTTTTATTTGAATTTATGTTTGTAAATAATATTATAATAAGTTTACTAAAAGCAATTTTATTGGGGCCAAAAGTTTGAAATTAAAATGTTCCAGGTTTACTCTCTACGTAAAGCTGTTCACCGTCATGGGTATCAACTGGATCTTGGAGGTGGTCAGCTCCTTCTACCCCGAAGCTAACGTCTTCTGGCAGTTTTCTGACGCTTACAACGTGCTCGTCGGCTTAATCATCTTCATTATTTTCGTCTGTAAAAAGAAGACTTGGAGAATGATCAAGAAGAGGTTCGTCTTGCTTTATAATTGTCTCAGAAGAGACAATAGTGGTGGTGGATTGACTTCGATGGCTTCTTAGTTTCACTTTCTTTTTTATTCTTCATTTTCTGTCTTTCGCGTTATACACAACAATGCAATTTATAAACTGTGCGTATGCCTACAGCGTCCTTGAGGTACGCCTTCATTCAACAATGGTTTTACAATTGTGAAGTGACGTCGACGTTCTTATTATTTGATAAATACCAATGTTTGCAGTTTATTTAGATAGTAGTATAACTTAAAGTTCTTACCAATGTAATTGTACTTAAGTTTTATTATGGCAAAATAAAAATTCAACAAAATATGTTAGGCCAAAACTATGGAAACGATTTAGTAATGAGTTCCAGCCGTGGTGATAGGAGACTGTGCACTATGATATTGATGCATTTAGTAATATAATTTAGTATAAGTGTAAAGAAAGATCTAATGATTGTATTTAAACAAATAGTTCAATGTGATTTTGTAAAACTATATTCCAAACTGTTCAAAATGTCCTAAGTTTGCTTCATTCTGTATCCAGGATCAAAGATTATCAACGTTTCAAGTCTAATAAAAAACGACGAGATAGTAGAGAGGTTAATATCAATAACAGACAACTAACGCAATGGAGAACGCAACCAGATAGAACATCTAGTTTGGAAACCATTAAAACAACGGATGGAGAAACAAGTTTAAGAAGCAATAAATCTATTAGTACAAATCCTCATTAGCCCACCGATAATGAAGTACAAACTACTGCACAGACTAAACCAAATTAATACAAAGAAGATAATAATAAGACAAGAGGTTATGATAAAAATAATAGACGAAGAATACTATAATTAGAAGAAGCTCGGAAAAAGGCTAAAGTTCAAGGCTTAAACAAAAACAAGACTGGTAACATTAACGAACTAAATAAATGTATGTCAAAAATGGAATGTTTGGTATATACCTAGTACGAGTGAAAAGGTACAGAAAAGTATTAGTAAAACAATAGATTAGGATCTAGTGAATGGTAGTTTTATACTAACTTTGCAATGTGTTGGCAACTAATTGTGAGGGCTTGTGTTTTAGTGTGTGGGTTGGAATTAGCTATAACCTTTGTGAAGTACAAGCTGTGTGTATTAATTAAGATAATGAAATATAACTTTATGAGAAAACAAATGTAATCTTTGTATTTAATGCACCAAAGGACACCTATTTGCACATTTCGTTAACAATTTTTGGTTTGGTTTGCACGTTTGAAATGAGATTTTAATCGTTACGGGTTTAGGTAGATTTTGCATTAGAAGTGATCGAGAAAATCAGGCGGGTGGAGGAAGATGATTAGAAACAATCAAATTATACAAAGTACGTAGTTTGTTGCTGGCATTTAAATCTAAAACATCGACATTTTTCGCTTTGTTTTAAGGATTTTCTGTGATAAAAGCTTCATTGATATTGCTTCTAATTATTTTATACTATTTTCTTCGTTTATGGTCTTGAGTACATTATTATTTAAAATAACAAGATAATTAAAATAATATTATATTTTTATGTAAAGAAAGTAATAAATAAATATTATATTTAAGACATTTCAATATAAAAAACGAACATTCCAGTTGTGTTGTTTAAATAATAACATTTTCGGGTGCTGATGTCATTGTTTTTTTTTCGTTCACCAGACAAATGTTATTTCTTCTACTCATTTGCATTGCAAAAAATTAATCAATGAGCGTTTGACGAAAAATATTCAATTTTATTATCCTATCATTATTTTTATACATATAATTACTACCTACTCATAGTACTCCAGGCCATTGCAAAATAATCAAACCTTTTTATTTCTTCGCCTTTAATGTTTGCGCTTAATTTTTGTTGTGTATAACAGTTCTTAGGGCTGATTTTTCAATAGACAGATAAATGTTAACTAAGGAATAAAATTGTTGTTGTCACTATCTTATACAAACATTCTGACGCGAAAGCATCATAATTATTCCCCAGATAACTTTTATCTAACCATTGGAAAATCAGCCCTAATCCAAATATTATTTTTATTTAAGTCATAAAGTAAGCACTCGTGTTATCCATTTTAAAATAATATATATATTTAGAGAAGTCTATCTAAGAAGTGGAATATTATATGGATTTCATAATATAATCTCCAATAAACATATCTAATAAAAATAATTTATTTACCTGCAGTCCACAGGCAACAAGATTCAAATTTGTTATGCAAATGAATTATTAGTTATAACAAAAATCAATTGAATACATTACAAATCGGGTTTTCTAGACATTAAATGTCATATTATTTTTAATATGATTTTCCTTATATTTTACTTTTTTAATAGAATTCTTTAGAAAACCTAGAACAAGGTTTTTTTAGTTATAGAAATTTATCCTACATTTTAGTTTAAAAAACCAGATGACATATTTGCCTGAAAAGCGATTATAACGTGAATGGCCTTAAATAACTTTGCATATTACGTATTATTAATTAATTGTTTCTAACCACTATTGCTATTAAAGCCATAGATACACTATAGTATGCATAAATGCCCCGCGACATGTTGTTAATGACGTCATGTTTTGCTGTGTGACGTCATCCGTCGATATCCGAAATAATTGGTGATGTCGCACGACAAATAATGTCATGTTGTAACTATCGACTTTAGAGCGCTTCAACACTACCTCCAATCTGAATCCAATCCGATCCGTAAGTAATCAGCGCCGCGGATGGACACTTGTAGTACCAACGGAGTTACTTCAAGTCCAGACCGTTGCTGGCCTCTCATAGGTTATTAAGGATTTAAGGATAGGATATTGGAGGATTGAGATTGGGAAAGGGGGGAGAATATGGCCTGCAGTAACCTCACTCACAAAGTATGTGTTGCTTTACGTCGGTTCTCTTTGAAGCTGCTGTCACTCCGGTCGAGCCGGCTCATTCGTGCCAAAGCATGACTCGAAAGCATATTTCTTATGTATGGGAATACATAAGAAATATGCTTTCTATTCCAATTTTAGTTAACGCAGTATATCAATCATCCATCCAATTTTCTTCAAAAATAATATCCTTATTCGATATTTTCACTGTTTCGGGTCGGATTTAGAGGGAACGCGTTGTAAGGGTAGAATATCCGAATTCTGTATTTTCAAAGTTTCGCATCGGATTCACATCGGACGTAGCACAGAAGCGCTCTTAAGGCAAATAAACTCGTGATATACAATTTATATAAATACATGACGTCACATAGCTCATATACTGAAGTTAAGCGATTTCACATGGTATAACAACGTCATAAAACATTTCATTTCATCACTAATTTGGCCTTTTCTGCACAGATACAGACAACTGCGGGGCGATACTTCTAAGTCAGGAACGCAGACCACGTCATCCTCTACTCGGACACATTCCACATCCCGCGATGATATGCAGATGCACTCTATCAAGAAGTAAATAAGTTTCAAAGTGCTATGTGTAATTTTAAAGCTAAACGTGCGTGAAACAGAATCGCTGCCGGCATAATTATTAAAGACTTAATTGCACAAAAAAATTCTGAATTTCTGAATTAAATATTAACTCAAATCATCTACTAAAACGTATTGAACAATCTTTAATCATAACATCATCAGCCTAAAAGTACCCAAAGGCCTCTTTTCGCACGGAGAAGTTTAAGCAATTATTCTTCAAACCCCAAGTGAACGCCGGCGTTGACTTACCTATTGTTCCTTTATTGTGTCTCGAATTACCACGATTAAAAGGTTAATCACCACGCTTATACAAGGCGAATTGGCGATTTCAAACTTATAATTACAAATTATAAGTCCTTTACCTATTAGTAAAAATATTCAGAAATTATAGAACAAGTATGGGACCAAGCAATTAAAAGAATATTGGCGATTATGAAAAATAGTAAAATCGATTCTTACAAGAGTAGCGATTATCGAATTATAAAAAAATATATAAATGCGTCTTTACTCTTTATGGTGGCAGAATGTCCATTGCGATAAGAAGTTTTAAATGCATAAGTTATTAAAATAGTCCATTTGGCTTCAGCTGTTGCATTTTTTGTCATTATGCAAAGACATTTTCTTTTACACAATAGAGTGCCTAATGCGCTTTGCAATACGTTAATGCATTGAACGTTTCCGTATTCAGCACCCTGATTGGTTGGCTAGCTTGGAACTGACCAATCAGAACGTCGTCCTATACATGTCGATCGACATAACATGGCAAAACTCGCTAAGCGCTTTGCGTTGCGTTACTTACTGTAGGGATAAACAAGGGATGTTATCAAATCAACAAGAATATATTATAGTTTCACACACAACCTAAATACTACATAATAGAAAAAAAATTGACCAATAATTTTACTAAGAAAAGACCTTTTATCAATGTAATTAATGAAGATATGAAAGAAAAAACAAATCCTTTATCCTTACATCCTGTATATGAAATATTAAAATCTCTGTTTCACGAACGTCTGCAAATCGATCAATGTTATAAAAATATATGAGTGTAAACTTGTCTATTTTTTTATTGTGCCTAGATCTGCCATTTGAAATAAATTAAATTAGTTGAAAAAAATACTAAAATCGCCTTAAACTTGCCTTGACTTGAATTTTATTGTTGTTTTTACATTTAAAATACATAGGGTGTTCAATTAAATTATGTAGCCAAAACTATATTTATGATATAAAGAAAGTAATATTTTACATGGCAAACTAAAAGCTTTGTTACAATAAGATTTAAGAAAAAATATATTTTCATCATAAACATTTTGTAAAAAAGGTTTTCACTATATTTCTAAATTAAACCTTTTTATTGAATGTTGACTGTGAATATTTTATTCGTTGTACAAATGTATGTAAGGCACATAATTATTTACTGCGTGTGATTTTTACACCTCGATGTATTTAAATTTTAAAGGAAAACGAGCTTAATGTAAACTTATATGATAGCATTTATTAGTTTTAATTGCGTAATCATAATAATGCCATAATTTTATTATTATTGTTAAAAAAATAGGTTTATGAGAAATGTTGATAGATAAAATGAATACTTATATAAACCAAACTAAATACTTATGTAGGTACTGTTATAGTACAATCAATAAAATTCGTTCTTGACCATACTTAGATTGAATTTTGTGTGCAGTGGCTGCACTGGCTCTACCAATTAACATGTTAAAGAAAGAATTGTGAACTAGGAATAGAATGAAAATCTTTTGTGTATAAAAAAATGACAGAAGGTTTTATTGGCTTTTTACTTAACTTTTTTCACTTAGAAAGCAATAAAAACTAAGAAGACAAATGGCGGTACACAAGTACAACGTTGTTGCGTGCAGATTGACCAAGGACTGTCTTGGAGATAGCAAAAAATTGTACCTATGAGCAATATTTTTTCTATGCGGCATACTACAATTTCTGTGGGTGGCAAAGTTTAGCTAATCATTATCCTGGTCATCTAACTATCCTTAGTGAGTTTCCATAATAGATTAAAAAAAATGTTTAAAAATATTCGTAACAGTGGTACTTGATTTAAAATTCTTTCACGCAATCCCAGGCTCCCAGAATTGTAGGTTAGGTTAGGTCCGGTCAGTTCAAAACTGCGACGATCAGAAAAATTGAAATGACATCAGAATGATAAAAAAATACAAGACAATTGTGGTAGAATTTTAATTTTGAATAAATAACGGCTTAGTAAATTATATCTCAGTCATTAAAAGTCTTTTGGTTATATTATACCATCGTTAAAACATAATTTCTTCTGTAATGGAGTCATTTCATTTGAAAAAATGAAACATATAATGCATATGTCGCAACAGAAATAGCCACTCATTCATTGGTTATGTATTTGATCTCAAAAAAGATGGCCGCTAAGCTGGTAAATAGAGAACGAACGCGGTAATTTAAGAGTTATGAGTGATATGAACTTGTAACGATTTTCAATTCTATTATTTCGTTTTAAGGATGATATTTCAAATGCAGCTCATTTTTCTTAAGTCTTTATTTATCGCGTATGGTTGCAATTTTAAAAACTCAGACATTATTTTTTTTTTTTTTTACAAAGCAGTAAAAATCCTATTGAATGAAATGATTTTTTTTATGACATAAATAGTTCGAATATTATATTAATTTGGTTTTAATGTGAAGTCTCTCTATATAAGTTAACTATGAAGACATTTAATTATTTAAATTTAAGAATTTATTATATATTTTTAGTAGGGTGCAAAATATTATCTACCTAAATAATATAAGTCTGTTTATCTCAAGAGCGAATATAAAGGAAAAATACATATTACTGAGTAATAAAAATGTATTTTGTGAGAACAGTTTTTAATTTTTATCCCATCCAAATTATGTACCTGTCCCAATGTTAGATCGGTCGCATATGCTAAGTCACCAAATCCTGCAGTCTCGCTTAAAGATCTCCTAGAAGCCAATCAAACTATCGTTATGTTTGCAGATGGATGTAAGGAAAATTTATTGGTACTGCGAGAGGAACTTATGAAGTGTTGTGAATTTTTCTTGTTTTAATTTATCTAATCCGTATTAACATAAATAAATAGATGAATTACCAAATATTAAGAGCCCCAAATTCATAATGTTTAATAAAAAAAGTGCCAGGAGCGTATCGGGCTACACTCAGTGTAGGGTTCCGTTAGATACCAGTCTGTTACAATAAGTCCAATACCGCCAACGTATCTTGTCGAGTCTGAAGTTAGCCGATTAGCTGCGCAGTACACGATTTTGTTCCTAAACGATCCATTGCGCAGACAAACGGCTAACTTCAGACTCGACAAGATACGTCGGTCATACTGTATCCCCACGTAAGAGTTATTGTCAATCTTTACACCGCAATTCAGCGTAATGAGCAAAAACTACTACTAATGGCACTGTAGTGCCATCGGCAGCGGAATTGGATTACTTATTTAAACAAACTAGACGGAGATGTATGTTAAGTTTTTTGGGCATTGCGAAAAGCTATTTTAACGAGATTGGAAAGAACTTAGGTTCAATGTTGACAAATGAATTACCTGGACAGTCTACATTTAATCACTGTATGCCCGGCTGTAGTTTTGGTAATATTTTGGATAAAATTAATAAATATAGATTTAATCCAGATTCTACCCTTATTATAATGTGTGGTAACAGAGGTAGTCTTAATAAAAAAAGTTTAATCAATTTCCATAATTCACTTGCCAAACTGAATTTAAAGCAGATAATTATATTTGCATTGCCTTATATAAAATCATTGCCACAGGAAGAAAACAATAGTAGATATAAAATTAATACTACATTGTATAACTTAAGTATTAATACTAATATTCACTTCATAGACACTAACAATTATGTTGGTCTTAATATATATAGGACAAAAGATAGGTACTATCTTTCAAAATATTATTTAAGACAAATAGCAATGTCGCTATCATATTTTTTTAATATATCAGCCAATAACTTGGCTAAACAGGTTACTCCTATTGAGCAACCAAAAAATATTGACATTCATAATGAGTCACCTAATACTGACATTCATAATAATTTAAATTATTAAATAAGACAATAGAGACAAACTCTTGCAAATTAAACAGTAATAAGGTTATTAATCTGGTTCACCAAAACATTCAAGGCTTTATGAGTAAAGAATTGGAAATAGAGTTATTTTTAAATTGTAATAATGTGGATATTTTGTGTATTACTGAACATTGGCTAAAACCCCATCAGCTAATGTTCAATTTTGGTAAGCACCAGATTGGTAGCTCGTTCAGCAGAGAAAACGCTATACATGGTGGGTCACTTATACTGATAAGTAACCAGCTCAAATTCAAAGATCGTAAAGATATAGTTAGTTACTCTGTTGAGCGTACTGTTGAAATAGCCTGTGTGGAATTGGAGCGGTTTATTGTATTAAGCGTGTATAGACCACCTTCTGGTTTGTATGACTGTTTTGAAACAGTAATGGATGAAGTTCTAAGTAAACTTACAAATTCAAAGAAATCCATCATTACATGTGGTGATTTTAATATAAATTTATTAGAAAAATGTAGTTTAAGCACAAAAATTGTAAGTTTATTTTCTTCATACAACCTTGCGAATTTGTTTCTGGAGCCAACTAGGATAACACCCACTAGTGCCACTTGCCTGGACAATATTTATACTGATATTGTGCCAGTTAACAAAGAAATAATTTCAGTACTTGATTCCGATCACTGTGGTCAGTTAATTTCTTTAACAAAAGAAATAAATATAGTATCAAAACAATTTATCACAGTTAATACGAAGACTAAAAGACGCATTGAATTTTTCAAAGCTAAACTCAGCAACAAATTGCCTTTGTTGTTGAATTATAAGAATTCTAGCACTCTATATGATAAGTTTTTTAAAATGTACCTAACAGAGTTTAAGTCTACTTTTTCAGATAAAACTATACCAGCTAATAGCAATGCGTCTTTCGGTGATTGGGCAACCACTGGTATCTATAAGAGTAGAAAGCGCCTCTATGAGCTTTATAATGAGCGGACATATATTA